ACTATTAAAAATGAAAATTGAAAACAATACAAATTGGAAAAAATTAATTGGAGAATAAATTAAACACAAAATGTGTTGCTAATTAAATTAATTAATTAAATAAGTGAATGCAAACTGTTGCCAAAAACAAAAAACAAAAACTCTGTTATAGCTTAAGTACTGTGAGAAGGGAGAAAGCAGTGGTTTTTTTTGTTTGTTTGTTTGTTTTTTTGTAGCTGAGCCACCCTGCTACCTATTGGCAGCTTAGAGGCAGCTCAGCTTGGGCCGGCATCAAACCGCTGTTGCTTAAAGCTCAAACTCTTGAGCAAGCTCTTAACCAACTGAGCCACTCGGCCGGCCCAAAAGCAGTGTTATTTTGAGGAGTTTGGAAAATCTTCTCGGAAATGTTGGTATTTGAGCTGGCCTTTGAAGGACGGACAAGATTTAGACGCACAAAGAAAAAGGAAGGGCATGCCATGAGCAAAGATGCAGGGGGAGTGCATTAGGCCTTTGCGGAGACTGGTGCGGGAGGATCGCAGACTGCGGGGGACAGTTTGTGAAGTCATGTTACTATCGCAGAGCCATCACAGATGTTTAAATGTTAGCAGAAAGAAAAGTTATGTAAGTAATCCATACTGATTAAGAAAGCTTCAATCCATACTGAAGGGTATGGAGTAAAAAGTCCGTCATTCCACCTAAACCCCGAGTGGTAACCGCTGGTAAGAGTGTCCTGTACATTCTTTCCCCGGGAACTGGGTGCTACTGTCCACAAGGTTATAGCACTGGCTTCAATCCACTGACCCAGGGAGTATTTTTAAGACTCTTCTTACATCAATACCTGTGGCTGTACCTCACTGGCGTTTTTCTGTCATTGAATAATATTCAACTATTGCACATGTATCTTTGCTTACATGTGTGAATATATCTGTAGAACACGTTTCTAGAAATTGCTCTGGCAAATACATTTTAAATTTAGGTAAACATTGTCAAATTGCTGGTCAGGCAGGTTGTACCATCTCACCTCCCCAACAGCATAGAACACCTGTTATGTGTTCACCCACATGTATTCTTTACTTTAATAATATGATTATTCTTAATAGTAGTAAGATTTATTCATTTTTAATCTGAAAAAATAGTATCAAGTTTTGTGTGTAATTTTTATGAGTGAAGTTGAGCAACTTTTATTCCTGAAGCTACTGTTTATATCCCTTGCCATTCTTAGAGTATCTTTGTATCATGATTTTCTAGGAATTCATTGTAGATTTAGGAAATTAATTCATCATGTGTACTAAGTGTTGTAGATTTTTCCTAGTTTGTCAGTATTGACTATTTTTGTAGTACAGTAAGTTTTAGTCTGTTATGAAGCCACACTTACCTGGGTTTTTTCCTTTGGGATTTCTGAGTTTTTCATAAGGCTAAGAAAGGTCTCACCCACTCTCAGATTCTAAAACATTCCTGTTTTTTCCTAGTAATGCATTGTATTTTGATATTTGAACTCTTGCTCCATCTGTAATTCCTTTTAGAGTAAAAAATGATGTACAAGTACCATTTTCCCACAAATAATGATCAAGTTGTTGCAACGATTTTGAATTGTCCTTTTCCCCCCACTGACTTGAAATGGCATTTGCATATGTTACATTTATATCGATGTGCAGCTGGGTACATTTTTGGGCTCTATATTCCATTTCACTGATATTTCTATTTCTGTGCCATTATCAAGCTGTTTTAATTAACTGTAGATTTATAATATAATTTAATAATTGTTTCATTCTCATGCCATTTTAGGTTTTCCTAACTATTCTCACATGTAATAAATATTCAAGTTGTATTTTGAGTAATTTTATGACATTCTCTACCATCCTCCAAAAGAGCTGACATTCTGATTGAATTTGTATTGAGTCTATAGATTAATTTGGGGAGGACTGACATCTTTATAGTTTTGATCTTCCTATTAATTTATGCAACTGTTCTTTTGTATCTCAGTAGCATTTTCAATTTTTCTTCAGGTAGATCCAACACATTTCTTTGTGAATTTATTCCTAGGTATTTCATCAGTTACTGCTGTTGTGAATGAAATCTGTTTTTTGTTTTTAAAGATTTTGTTGGGGAATTGGGGAAGGGGAACAGTGTTGGGGAATTGGGGAAGGGGAACAGCCAAGTTGTTCTTCAGTCTTACTTGTGGAGGGCACAACTAGCTCAGCTCCAAGTCCAGTTGCCATTGGGCTGCCTGTTGGCAGCTCGTGGTAGCTCAGCTCAAGGTGCCTTGTTCAATCTTAGTTGCGGGTGGGCATAGCCCACCATCCCATACGGGAGTCAAACGGGCAACCTTATTGTTAGGAGCATGTACTCTCACTAGCTGAGCTATTCTGTCACCTGTTGACAGCTCAATGGCAACTCAGCTCAGGCGCAGCTCACTGGCCCATGTGGGAATCAAACCAGTGACCCTGTTGCTCAGAGCTTGTGCTCTTAACCAACTGAGCCACTTGGCTGGCCCTGTGAATGAAATCTTTACCTCCGTTGTTTTCTGACTGTTTGCAGGAAATGTCCTGATTTTTAATTACAGATGCTGTAACCATGCCTTATTTATTTTATGGATTTTAATAGTTTTCTGGTTGTTTCTTTGGAGTTTTCAAGTATATAATTACATCACGTGCAGATAAAAAACATTCTGCTGTTTAGTTTTTATACATTTTTGTAATTCTCTTAATAATCTATATTAAGTTGAACCTCCAAAACTATGTTAAACCATAGTTTTTGCTTGATATTAATATCATGGCATTGAGAATTATACAAGATATGTATCTAGTAGGAATGTTTTTCCTGTTTTTTTCTTTGAAGCCTGATGTTGGATTTTGGTTATTACATTAAGGAAGCGATTATGTAATCCAGCTAATTAAGAGTTGTGGTTTTTATTTTTTTAGGTCAGGAATGGATGTTGAATTATCAGATGAATCTCAGCATCTATTGACCTAATCATGACTTTTCTCCTTTGTCATATTAATTTGGTAAGTTTTTAAAATAGATTTTCTAACACTGAACTATACTTACACTCTATGAATCAATTCTATTTGGTTGTGATATATGATCCTTTTTCTATAATGCCTGCTTCTAGTGAAAATGTCCTTTGAGTTTTTGCACTGGTACCCGACAGTGATACTGGTCTATGGTTGTGTGTGTGCTGTCCTTGTCATGTTTGTGTCATTCATAAGGTGAGTGAGTGGAGCAAGATAATGATGATGGTGAAGTGAGAAGACCTGTCCCCATTTCTTTTGATTGCTGGACAATGAGAATGAAAAATCATACAGTGTAACACAGGTGACTTCAAATCATAATTAGCTACTTTAAATACACTTATAGGATGGTTAGTGCTCTTACAAAGAGGTAAGGAGGCCTTCCATTGACTTACATCCACATTTCAAACTTGATCAGAGTTGTATGGGACATGTAAGCTGTGTGTATACTAAACATGTTCTGTGCGTGCTGAGAAAACACGTGTATGCTTTATGAACACATTTCATTTTTTTTCATCAGCTTCCCCAGAGCCATGTTGGCATAACAGACAC